GTGCACACGCACGCTCTGAGCCTATGTCTAGAGGTTCAGCGTCCAGGATGGCTGCGTCAGCCCTCGTCTTCTAGGCCTGCTTCTGGGTGGCGGGGCAGTCATCTACACAGAAGATACTAAACATGGAAGAGCCAGAACGTAATAGGGAACTGGGAACGTGAGGTTCTTCTTATAAAATACTTCCCAGTAATTAAGGGACCTAGAAGTTGCTTTGGATTTCACACTTACTAGTCTAGCGCATCATCATCTGAGCTCGTGCTCATCTTTGTTGAGTCTTCTCCAGACCTCCCGGACACAGTTGTCTACTCTGTAGACATGTGAGGAAGATTAATCACGTGGCTACTTCAACCCATTGCAGTTAGTGGTGGTTATTTTTGGGTGAGTGTGGAGCATAGACCTACCTTCTTGCCCATTCTTGTTTTTATCCTTCCCAGAAAGTGTGCCCTTGTCCCTTGGAGTGAAAAAACTATAACCCACATGTTCTGACAGATCCGGTTCTAGATAGGAAGTTAGGTTGGTCTCTGCTGAAATAGATTTAACTGACAAATTAGAGTCAGCTACCAGAAAGTAGGATTATTTATATTTAATGCTTTGTAGGAAGTCTTGCAGCCATAAAACTGTAGAAAGACCTGTAGTACTTTCTGTATTTCTATGTAGTTTGGGTGATTCTGTTTTCTCAAAAACTAGAAAAGAGGTAATTTTCACTTGACTTTATGACAGAGTAATTATGGAGTTTTTTTAAATGACTAGATTTCCTGAGCCAGCAGTCTGAATTTCAGAGAATACATTCGAGATGAAAAAACAAAAAAGGGCGTCCAGAGAGCAACGGTAGCGATGCGCCGTGAGCGGGCCCCACTGGGACAGAGGACGGACGAGCCAGAAGTGTGCAGTGTGGGTGTGAGGTGTGCTGGCAGGAGAGGACGGAGTGCTCCGACTCAAGGCTCTCTGTTGCCTTGAGAAACGGGGGCTCGGGAGCCTGTGCTGGAGGTGAGGGCGAGGTGGGCCGGAGGCCGTGGGTTGCCAAGTACTCCGGCAGCCTTCAAGGCTCAGTCGAAGTTGTTGACACGGGAACGTGGGTCACGATCTTCCCTGTCAACACACAAAGGCCGAAGTTTGTATTGGGAGAGGTGACGGTCTCTTCTAGGTGGACAGCCACTTTGCCCTCTGACTGTCTCCGTCTGGCAAAACCCCAGTCCCGCGGACACTCGCCTGTTGGCCTTCACGCCGCGCCCGAGCGACGGGCCCCTCCCGTGTTCCCTCTGCTCGCTCCACACAGCTGTTTCAGACCGTCTTGTGCAACCCCAAGCCCTCCAGCCCCCCACCTGCCCTCCCCTCCTCTGCACATGACCTTGCTTCCTGCCGGCTGGGACCTGGCAGCTTCCCACCCTCTCCTACGTCTTGCTGCCTCCCTCTGCTACAGTGGGTGGCTGGCCTCCCCCTCTCAGGCTGCCTTTCTGGGTCTCCGTGGGCCTTTCCAGGATGTCTTTTCTCCCATATTTTGCCTATCCCTTTGAGTGGAATTCTTCCCATTTCTGTTTCTTTCCTGAACTTTTCCTGGAAGCATCACTACAGACAGCCCCCAACTGTAGGGGACAGCTTGATGAGTGTTCACAGCCCTGACATAAACACACCTGTGTAAACCAGAGACCGGCCTAGGCAGCCGTGTGGCCGGGACCCCCGAGCCCCTGTGCTCCTTTCCACGTGGAGCTCCTGTGCCCTCTCTGTTCCTGACGGCGTAGATTAACTTTGCCTGCGTTGAACTCTGTGTGAATGGAGACATGCAGGATGTCCTCTTAATGTTGGCAGGTACTCCACTTCTCCCCAGGTGACCTCATTCCAGCCCCTGCTTCGGTGTTCATAGTTCACAAATTTGTATCTGATCAAGTGCTGCCGCCTTCTCTGAGTGCCAGTTTCTTTCATTCAGCTACTGTCCCCAGCATCTACTTTTCGATATTTTACAAATGTCAAAAATCGGAGTCCTGTTCTTCATCTCCAAACCTAGGTTTCTTAGAGTTTCCTGTCTTAATGAACGGCTCCACCTCCACCTGGTTGTTTACACAGAAAACAGAGCAGTCGTCCTGGGCATCTCTTCTTCCCTCACGCATTTGTTCCGTCCACCAAGCCGCCTGATTTTTCTATCCTAAGTATGTCTTAAAAATATCCACTTCCTTTTATCTCCACCACTGCTTTGGTGCAGGTTACCATTCTTTGTAACCCAGCCTCCCAAGGTGACCTCTGACATGTTGGCCCCCCGGGTTCTCCTGTTCTCCTGCTTTCCTCTCACCTGTTGACTCTACTTTAGTCACAGTTGTCTATTTAAAAATGCAAGTGATGGGGGCGCCTGGGTGGCTCAGTCAGTTAAGCATCTGACTTGGGCTCGGGTCATGGTCTCACGGTTCATGGGTTCGAGCCCCGTGTTGGGCTCTGTGCTGATAGTTCGGAGCCTGGAGCCTGCTTGGGATTCCGTGTCTCCTTCTCTCTCTACCCCTCCCCTGCTCGCACTCTGTCTCTCAAAAATAAATAAATGTAAAAAAAAAAAAAAAAAGTTTTTTTTAAACTGCAAGCGATGTTCCCACTTTAAAATATACAAAAACTAACTACCACTTCAGTGGCTTTCCGTTGCCCTTAAAGATCAAGCCCCACGACTTCAGCGCCATCTCCCCTTTCTCACCATGCACAGTGTCCCCTCTGGGCCCCTTTTCTCTCCTAGATGCCTTGCTCCCTCCCATGGTCTGTTGCGGATGCTGTGCCTTCAGGTTGAGTGTCTCCTGTAGATCTGAGCTCCAACTCTTGCTTCTTCAGGGCAGTCTTCCCCGACCCTCCTGACCAGGTCCGCCCCACTGCCCTTGGAGTCATGGGCTCCCCGAGCGCCACCCAGGGCTGCTTCGTAGCACTTAGCATAGTTTGCGTTTTACGTTTCTTGTGGACATCTTTGATGATGTCTGTTTCCCCATTAGATGGTCATTTCCGCACAGGGAGAGACTAGGTGTGTTTGTGTTGAGGGCACACATGCTCAGTAAACATCTGTTGCTTGGTGACCTGTGGAAGACAGAGACGAAGGAGTCTTAGATGTCCTCTAAATTCACTGGTTCTCTGCTGTTCTTGCTGGTTGGAGCTGGCATTTAAGAGGCAGGGAGGGGAAGACCGCAAACAAGGAAATGCATCCCTACATACACAGACTAACTCGGGCGGTTGTCCATGAGGGAAAGTGAGAAAACCCAGCAGAATGATGTGCTGCAGGGTAGGAGGCGAATCAGTCTAAATTGGTTAATGGAGCCGCCCTCTGAGAAGGCCCCGCCAACGCTCTCACTGCTGAGAAGATGCCAGCTTGCGGGGGATCAGGGAGACGCGTGGGCAGGGGAGTGTTTGAGGTGCTGAGGGGGATCAGGCTTGGTGAGTTTGAAGACTGGAAAGGGGATGAGTGAGGTGGCGTGGGGTGTGCAAGAGGATGTGGTGGTGAGACTGGGTGTCCCCCGTGTGCCCCGGTGAAAGGAGCATGCATTTTATTTTTAGAATTTTTTTTTTTTTCAACGTTTATTTATTTTTGGGACAGAGAGAGACAGAGCATGAATGGGGGAGGGGCAGAGAGAGGGAGACACAGAATCGGAAAACCCAGGCTCCGGTTATCAATGAGCCACGCGGGGGCTCGAACTCACTGGACCGCGAGATCGTCACCGGCTGAAGTCGGACGCTTAACCGACCGGCCACCCAGCTGAGCATGCATTTTAAAGAGCAGTGGAGGGTTAAGGTCGAAGCAGGGGTGTGGCACGATCTTATTTACGTTTTTATTTTTTTTTTTAATTTTTTTTTTTTCAACGTTTATTTATTTTAGGACAGAGAGACAGAGCATCGGGGGAGGGTCAGAGAGAGAGGGAGACACAGAATCGGAAACAGGTCTCCAGGCTCAACCATCAGCCCGGGGCAGGGGGACTCGAACTCACTGACGGAGATGTCGGACCTGGTTGAAGTCGGACGCTTAACCGACTGCGCCACCCAGGCGCCCCTTATTTACGTTTTTAAAAGGTTGGGTTGACGCCTTGTGGAGGCACAAGAGTGAAGCCGAGAGGTGGCGGATTGAGCAGCTAGGGGCTTCATCTGAGCTTGGCCCGGGTGGTTGTCGTGGCTGCGGAGACAGGCTGGGCAGGTAGACAGAAGTCATGGAGGGAGGCAGGTTTGGCGAAGAGGAAGTCAGGTGGGTTCCCTGCGTGGATGCTTCTTGGACGGAAGAGTCAGGAGGGAGCAGGCTGAGGGCTTGGGTTTGGGGACACTTTCTGTGATGTAGTCCTGGGCTGGAGGTAAGACTTGGGAGTTGACATCAAGATGGTATCTTAGGCCGTGTGACTGGGTGAGATTACTTGGAGAGAGGTTATAGATCTGGAAAAGAAGGGGGGCCCCCGTTGGAGCCCCGAGGCACCCCAACATTTAGAAGTCCAGCAGAAGAGGAGTGTCCAGCAAAGGAAACACGGAGTGGCTCATGAGGGAGCAGGGTGGCTGACAAGGAGGGGACATTAGTGCAGGCCACAGACAGATGTGTCGTATGGTCCCGTCTGGTGGACGAGGACAGTGCCCGTTGAAGGTCACAACAGCCTGGATAAGAGTGGTTTTCAGTGAGGGTAGAGACAGACGCCTGGCGGAGAGAATGTGACGCACGAAGCTCTCGGGGAGTTTTGCTGCGCAGGAGAGCAGGTATTTGGGCCGATAGGTGGGGCGGGGCTGTGGGATCCAAAGAAGTCTGTTTGAGGAAGGAGGGGCAGAGAACATGTTTGTATGGGACGGACCAGCAAGTGGGACAGAACTGTTGACGACATGGAGAGTCATTGCAGGATTTGATTTTGAGGAGGCCTCGGAAGTGCTGACGGGGCACACGTGGCGGGACTGGCCCGTGAGGAGCAGGAAGGAGGAGGAAGGAGGCAGAGCGCACAGGTGTAGATGCGGCCTGTGGGAGAGTGAGGACGCTGTCGTCACGTTGTTCCTGTTTTCTCAATACGTTACTTTGGCAGGTTACCAGCCCCGAGAGAGGGAGGTGGAGGGGATCCAGGAGATTCGAGGAGAAAGGAGGACACGGGGGACGTTGCTGTCGTGACTGCAAAGCGGCAACTGAAAATCCTGGAAAGCGTGTACCGAAGGCTTTCAGAAGAATTTGTGGAGGCCTGGTGCCCACCCGAGGTTTGTCATCGTGAATTCGGGAAAGCCTGGCGTCACTCGGCTGTTTTGGGTGCCCGTATGGATAGGTGGAGAATTGGATTTAAGTAAGGTCGGGGTGTTATTAAAATGGTGTGACAGGGAGAAGGTGACAAGAGAGTTAACGGTGAGCGAGGAAGAGGCGTTCTCCTGATGGACGGAAGTGGAGTGAGCGGGTGACGGGAGAAGAGGAAAGGTTATTGCTTGTGAGTCTGCGGGCGAAAGACTGCTGGAGTCGGAGCCGGCAGGGGACGAAGCACCAGGCGGCCAGAGGGTGGCTTGCTGTTGAACAGACTTTGGAGACGGTGCAGTTACTGGTGATGACAGAAACGAGGTACGGCCTCGGAACCGTGATGGAGGAGGAGGGTGGCCGGTGAGGGGGTGGGGCTGCAGAGTCTGCGCCAGGAAAGGAAGTGGGAGAAAAAGGCAGACAGGGTCTCGTTAGCGGGACAGAAAACGATTAAAAGCAGACTGGAGGTCCTGTGGGAACAAAGGAAAGGTTCCGTCAGATTAGCAGAGTCAGAAAGCTGGAAAGGCAGGGTGTTGTGGTCACATGATAGGGTTTCACTGAAGACACGTCAGCTGCTGTCACCGCATTTGTGTCCTAGGTCCCCATCCGTGTAGTGATGTGCCCGAGTTTGCCTGGCTCCGTGATGCCTGTGCGGGCAAAGTTTCTTTAGCTCTGTGATTCAGAGTGCTGGTTGCCGGTGTGTATCTTTCTCCTGAATCTCTTTCCACCTTCACTACAGGGATCTCCTGGGCAGAGGCTTACCGCTTTTCTTTCTGTTACGGAAAATTTCAGATAAACTCAAAAGTAGAGGAAGTAACAAAATGTACTTCTGTGTACCCTTCATCCAGGTTCAAAACCTATCATCATACGTCGCTATTCTTGCTTTATGTACTCCTTTGCGTCTTTGTTCGCATGAGAAGCCAGTTTATCCACTGCAGGCGACTCCAGGTTCACGTGAGTATCGGCATCTTACTGAGCACTTGCGCAGCCTGCATTTCGGAAAGGAAGAAAGTATGTCCTACAGATGTGTGTCCTTGAGTCTCCAAAGCATGCTCTTTTACATCATGGCTGACTGAGAGCATACAAAATGCCTTTTTGTGATAGGCCAGTACACCTACATCATCCTGATTATTTTCAAAGGAAATAGATGCAAAATCACGTTAGGTGACTTACTCGCCTGGTGTTCTAAGATTAAGTGGAAACACACTTCTAAATCCCTTTCATTCCTTTGGTGGGACTTTGTTCACACAGCATCTGCCCTGCATCTTCTATCCCCAGTCTTTTGAAAGGCATTACTGTCCTGTCCCTACACCAAACCTTCTTCTCCCTCAGCAGCCCCCACCTCTCGTCTGTCGTCGGTGCCAGCAAGACATGGTCCCCGGTCTCCCTGGGTGTGGTCTTGTGTCCAATGGCATGCCCTTCCGCAAGCCTGTTTCTTCAGAGGTCTGGCTGGGAGGATTCAGTGGCTCTGTAGTGGTTTTCTCTTCTCTGTCAGTGGTGCCAGGCCTGGGACGGGTGCCTTTGTACTTCCTGTATCACAGTCCATCTCCGTCAGAATCGCGCCGCGAAGCGTTCGCAGCATCTGGCTTCACGCCTGTGCGCTAAGTCTGATGTCGAGGCGTTTGGCTTCTTATTCCTGTAGGAGTGTAACTGGATTTTTCTCCCCTGCTGAATCAGGGTGATTAGTCTTGATCTTATGTCGAGATTATACTGAGTGTGATCCAGCTTTCTGGAACATCGGTCACAGTTTCCCGACCTCCCCCTCCGTGGTTGGCATTCTTCTGATACCTCCGTCGTCCCAGCACAGCGGGCCCCCGTGGGAGGCCGTCTCTCCACGTGTTGTACTCCTCGGCATCTCTCTTCTCCAGCACCTGCCCTGTGAAGACAGGGTCCTTCTGCTCTGAGTTCCTGGTTTGCAACTGTAGAATCATTTAAACAAGAAATTCATGAAAAACTAGTGTACTTTTTTCCCAGGCAAAATCGTATTTTTTGGTTGGCCGTGTAAAAGAGCAATATATGTAAAAAGTACGTGCAAAAGTGTGTTTAATCAGGTTTTCAAAATCCACATCCATGCCTCCTAGCACAGCATCCTGAGCACCTTCTAGGGTCGAGAGGCTCTTATGTGTACATTCTGCATCAGACTCTGGCTCAAGTTTTAGAGGGAAATCGGTGTCCTTGCTCTGTTCGGACTCTTGATGTTTGCACCCTGCAGGTGTGACCAGAGGGGGCCCCTTCCCCAACGAGCGTGTCTGCCTGCAAGGAAAATGAAGGCCAGAGCGGGGGCCCAGTGTGTCTTCCACAACTTCCAGACTGTGGTGGAGTTTTAGCATTGCCTCTTGGTCTGGGATGGAGAGTGCTTGTCCTGAGCAGCCCTCAGAGGGGCCATAGCCCTGATCTCCTAGCTGTGAACCCCGCGCCTCCACCTCCAGGTGGCCCTTCCCGGGCCAGCACCCAGAGACTCCTTTTTAACCTCTGGCGTCTCAAGCATCGGGTGTTGGCTTGCTGATCCCTCATTTTTAGCGGTACTGAGAGGTCAGTGCTGATTTGGGTGTTGCTTGGTGTCACAATGTTTAGATGGGGCAAAGATTTCAGTGGATAGAGGGAGGGCCCTTTTTCACAGAAGGTGGTTGGGGGCACATGGGCTAAATTTAAGCAGTTTTTCTCTCAGTTCTCAGCTGAACTCTAACTTCCTGTTTGAGCAGTTCTTGCCCACTGTAGGTTGAACCCCCAGACTGCTGGGGGCACTCCTGAGGTCTCATGTGGAGAGACTGAACGTTGCCCTGGGCAGTGCCAGGTGACCTCAGGGCAAGGTTCCTTCCTCCTGGGGTCGGAAAGGTGGTCCCGCAGTCCTGTCGGCTGTCCCCTTCAGCGCTCTTACGGGACGGGACGTTGGATATGAGACGTGTCTTAAGTGAGAGAATCTTGGGAGCATGTGATTTGGGATCTGTAGGATTTTTTTAGCTCGTATTTGCTATCTTGCTTTCTAGTCTCCTTTGTATGTACAGATGCAGTGGGGCAGGTGGTGGTTAGGAAAGTGTATGGCGGGGAGGCTTTTTGTGTTGTTTGTCCTTCTGTTCATTGGTTCGTCACATGGAAGATTGGCTGGAGTTCTTCTTGCTTTATCTTTTTTTCTCTTTTTCCTGAAGAATGTAGCTAGCCCTGCCCCCGCCCCACGTGGTAAGACTTGCAGGTATGTCTAAGCATTTCTGCCTGGAGAGAGGGGTGCCTGATTCCTCCTCGAGGGAAACTCTGGTGGAATTCAGGCAGGAATTCCATGTGCCTGAGCTTTGGTGTGGAGATTCCGCCTTCTGAGCAGTTAGTTCCGACGGGCGTCCTGACCCTCACTACTTCTGTTTCCAAGTCAGGAGAGCCACACGGTGTCCAGGCCAGCCGGTGAGGGACAGAGGGCAGGGTGTGGCAGTGTGCCTTGTCTTCCTGCCCTGAAGCCACGGACGCCTCTCTCTCGGGGTACATGCGGTACTACGCACATTTTCTCACGCTCAAGGTTGGTTGCGGAAGTCAGCTATTCGGGGGAATCATATTTGTTTAGTTGTTTCTGGTTCTGGGATTGGTTTGTTGCTGCAGCAGGAGCAGGAAAAGAATGTCTTCTCTGCATTAACTGATTTTTTGTCATAAAAATTTTCAAATACACGGGTATAACATTGTACTTATCATTTATCCATCATCATGTATCCATTACCTAGATTCAACAGTTACAGTGATTTTGCCACATATGCCTTATCTGTCCTTTTTTTTTTTTTTTTTTTTAACATTTTTATTTTTGAGAGACAGAGCGTGAGCAGGGGAGGGGCAGAGAGAGAGGGAGACACAGAATCCGAAGCAGGCTCCAGGCTCTAAGCTGTCAGCACAGAGCCCGGCGCGGGGCTCTAACTCACGAACTGTGAGATCATGACCTGAGTCGAAGGCGGACGCTTAACCCACTCAGCCACCCAGACGCCCCAATTATCTGTCCTTTCTTACTGTTTTTTTTTTGTTTGTTTGTTTGCTGAAGCATTTGAAGACTCCTCTCCGACATCATGTCACTACATTCCTGCAAGCTCCACTGTACGTCTTTGAAAACACTGCCATTTGCACGACTATAGGGGCAGTAAGACACCTAACACAGTTGGCCGTGTTCCTTGTATAATCTGATACCCCATCCCTCATCATGTTTCCTTCGTTGTCTCCTTTCAGCAGCTGGTTCATTTGAATCAGATTCCAAAGAAGGTCCTCATATTACATTGCATTGTTAGGCCTTGTGTCTGTTTAGGCCTGCGTCTCGAGCAGCTCCCCCCACCGCTCCCCATTTCCAGGCATGTACTTGTTGGAACAGTGGGCAGCCGTCCTGTGGACTGGCTCCTATTTTGGTATTTTTCTGCTTGCTTTCTGCCATTTCTTCTCGTACCTTTATATAAAAATGATGTCTAAAGTCTGGGTTACGTACCAGTTCAATCTTTCAGCAAGAATGTTTCGAAGTGATGCTGTGTGTTTCCTGTGTTTCCTGTCAGTCACATGCAGGGCTACACACAGGTCTGCTTGCTCCTCTTTGAGTGGTGCTAAGATTGATGAGGATTGATGAGTGGGTTTAGGTGATGACAGCCCGATCCTCGCAATGTCGAGTTTCTGGTCATGGTCAGGTATTTCATTAGGGTTATGCATTTCCTAGCTGGGTTGTCACATGACCTCAAAAGATAGTTCACAGAGGGAAGATAGGATGGACGCACAGTTCTTTCCTTTTAATTGCCAGTTTTTAGGGTAAAAAGTTGGTGCCCTAGTTACTTCCAGTTTTGCTCAGTGCCTTGAATCTCTGTCTCTCTGCCTCTGTCTGTCCCTGTCTTTGTCTCTCTGCTCCCCGCCACCCCCATTCCCCACCCCTGAAATCAGGGTAAACTTGTGAACTTTTGTATATTTAATTTGTTTCAGTAGATTGCATTCATTATTCCTTTTTGGATGCTCAGTTGTCCCATTTTTGGCCAGTGGGAGTCTCTTCATAAATTGGCATTGCTGTTCCTTTGGCATGAGTCTCTTGCTTTCTGGCATAACAGGATGTCCCAGCCTCATTTTGTAAAATGCTCTGGCCTTGAAATCAGCTGTTCCTCCAGGGATCCCTGTGCCTTTTGGTGGAGAAGGGTGTTTTGCTGTTGATTGTCACTGCTTCTAGGTCTTTCTGGTGGATAAAGCTAGAAAAGACATGAATTCAAACTGATAAATTTTATGTTGTACAATTTTTTCCTTAACTTTGGTTTTATGTTTGTATCTGGTTTATCTTAACATTGAATCTTGGTTCCTCACAACGATCGCAAAATTACTTACTTGCATGATCCTTATTTATACACCAGTGTAAATGACACACCAGTGTTGTTATAACTAACAAGCTACTGAAAGAAGTTTGATTTCTTTGCGGCTTCGTTTGTTGACAGAGCGTGTCCCTCTGAGTACAGCACACTAAGTGTGGATGTTACCGACTTGAAAAGTCATTCTTTTTGTTTTAAAATTTTAGGGATTGTTTCCTTTTTTTGGACTTAGTTTATTTTTGGAATATATATAAACATGTTTCCAAAGCTGAAATGACATGATAAGGTACGTTTGGAAACGTTTGACTTCATCTTTGTCTCCTTCGTCTCCACAGATAACTGCTTACCTTCGGTTTTGTGTTATCTTCCCTGTTAATTTGTGTACATGATGTAAACAAACACACATCCGCATTTGCATCCTTGCTTGGCACAAAAGTCAGCGTATTATATATACCCTTCTGTGTCTTGCTTTGTTCGTGAAACAGCATGACCGGGGTCTGCTCTCTCTCAGTGCATAGTGTTCTTCCTCGTTCCTCTTTTTGAACAGCCAAGCAGCATTTTATTGTGAGGATTAACTAGAGTTCGTTGGACCGGTGGGCTGTGCATAGGCCGTGGGTTGTCTGCAGTTTTGCTGTGTCAGGTACTGCCTCACTGAGTAACCTGGGACATCAGTCACTTCCTGCTTTTACCAATATATCTGGGGATGGAAGTATGTGTTACAGAACAGAGGGTAGATGCATATCTAATTTGTCCAGCCGTTGGCTATATTTTTGCTGAAATTAGTTCAACTTCAAAATCCTAACACTTCCACTTAAAAGCAGTCCAATTTATTTTGCCATTTTATTGTTAAAGACATCTCTTCGTTTGCCCGTCGCCCTGTCTTTGTATGGAGCATATTATTGAAAGTGTTCAGGAAGATCCGTTGATTTCATTTAATGAATTAATTGAAGTGTCACTTACTGACTATAGATTACAGGGGGTGCAAAGATTGGTAAAACATGGTCCTACACCTCACAGGAGTTCAGAGTTCAGATAGAATATTTTGGGATCTGTTTTCTTTGTTTCCTGATCATTCTGTTTGTTGTATATTTTGTCCCATGTTGGTCATCAAAAGACTGGTAATAAGGCACGGGGAAATGTGCCTTTATCTGCTGTACCAGAATGAGGCAAGATATGCCTGTTGGGGGACGAGAGGGTGTTGGGAAATATTCCATAGATGCATATGCAGCACGTATGAATTGAACACCTCCCCTTCACCAGAACGTAACAGTGAGCAGCACACACAGTTCCTCGCTCATGGCATTTACATCTTAGTACAGGAGATCTATCAAAAACCAAGGAACAGTGAGAAAACTACAAGTTATATGTGCTTTGAAGGAATCAAACAAGAGGTAAAAAGAGAGTCTCAGCAAGGGGCCTTCTTTAGGTAAGGGAGGGGCAGCTGACACAGCAAGGCCCACACAAGGTCGGGCAGAAAGCATTTCAGGCACTAGCTTGGGGTGTTGCGAACTGAAATAGAAAGCACAGCGAGGTGTGGGGGAGAGTTGGAGGTAAGGTCATGCAGGGCCTTGGGTATTCACTTAAAGGTTTGGATTTTAATTACATCAGGAAACCAGTGAGGACAATTAAACAAGGGAATGGCATTCGATACCACTTTGTCATATATTTATTCTTCCTGTAGGCCAGAAGGCTACTCAAATCTGATGTTTTAGGTCTAAAGCAGCACTGTCCTTTCTGAAGTTCAAAGCGGAGATAGTTTTCCTTCTTGCTCCTTTATGCAAGACAGCTGTTTCTCACATTCAGGTCTTCTGAGGATTTCTTTTCTTTTTCAATAATATTCCCTTGACGATGTTTAGATAATTACAATAAGTGGTTGTAAGTGGATTATATATACTTGGGCTATGAACAGGAGCATGATATCTACAAATTCTCTTCTTCAGACCTGCAAATCTAAGAGATACATCTCTCTGGAAGATAAGAGAGCTTCTTCCTCGAGATCAAAAAAGGTCTGTATTACTGTGTCACATTTATATGAAATTAATTATGGAACCAATAGCATTTGCCGGAAAAGAGGCATTTTCAATATATTTGCTTATGTTTTCGTTACAGGAGACTGGAGTGATACCCATGTAGGGAATCCCCAGAAGGAAGGATTGGCACACGTGGAACCCAAGGAGCTTGCTTCCTGGGAAGGCTTCTGTCTGATGTGTAGGAGGCAGAACGTCATACTGACTCTTCAAGGGGAGGCTACAGGGGATCGAGATCGACACGCAGTATCTCACCCTCCACCACAGGGGACACTGTGCGGTCCTTTTTCTAGAAGTGGGAAGTACGAGATTGTTCTACAAGAAGAAGATTCCGGGGGCTTAAAAACGCAGAGGTTTGCACCTTGGGAGCCCCTTGGAATGTTGACAACTCAGGATCTGAAGGAAAGTTCTGTGTTCATGAGTTACAGAATTCATGTGGGAGTAAATGTCACTTTATGATCAGTAATAATACTGAGTGAGGAGCACTATGCAGGAAGAAACCTTCCATAGAAAGACGGGCAGGGAGAAGCTCAGGCCAACCATAGCCCTACTGAATAGAGCAGGCCTGAGATAAACTGCCAGGATGGCCAAATAAGAGACTCTATGAAATAGCAGTCCTTCAACTATAGTAGTCGTAAGGAAATTTCCTCCTCTAAATCACGATACCAAATAGGAAAAATGATCTACAAGTGCCCCATGTGTAGGGAATTTTTCTCTGAGAGAGCAGATCTTTTTATGCATCAGAAAATCCACACTGCTGAGAAGCCCCATAAATGTGATAAGTGTGATAAGGGTTTCTTTCATATATCAGAACTTCATATTCATTGGAGAGACCACACAGGAGAGAAGGTCTATAAATGTGATGATTGCGGTAAGGATTTTAGTACTACAACAAAACTTAACAGACATAAGAAAATCCACACAGTGGAGAAGCCCTATAAATGCTATGAGTGTGGCAAAGCCTTCAATTGGAGCTCACATCTTCAAATTCACATGAGAGTTCATACAGGTGAGAAGCCCTATGTCTGTAGTGAGTGTGGAAGGGGCTTTAGTAATAGTTCAAATCTTTGCATGCATCAGAGAGTCCACACGGGCGAGAAACCCTTTAAATGTGAAGAGTGTGGGAAGGCCTTCAGGCATACTTCTAGCCTCTGCATGCATCAGAGAGTTCACACAGGAGAGAAACCCTATAAATGTTATGAGTGCGGGAAGGCCTTCAGCCAGAGTTCGAGCCTCTGCATCCATCAGAGGGTGCACACTGGGGAGAAACCCTATAGATGTTGTGGGTGTGGGAAGGCCTTCAGCCAGAGCTCAAGCCTCTGCATCCACCAGAGAGTGCACACTGGGGAGAAACCTTTTAAATGTGATGAGTGTGGGAAAGCCTTTAGTCAGAGCACCAGCCTCTGCATTCACCAGAGAGTACACACAAAGGAGAGAAACCATCTCAAAATATCAGTTATATAGAGTGTTTTGCTAACAGTTAAAATTCTTAAAACCCATAAGTGCCACTAGGAAGGAAACCCTGTAAATACCTACATTGACCCAAGAAATTTTTACAGCAAGCCCCAGCAGGACATTCTTTTTGAAGAGGCATATGTGAGGTTGGTTTTTCTGGTTGGTTTTTGTTTGTTTGTTTGTTTTGTTTTTTGGATTCATGCCAAGTATGTTCCACGACTTGACTTTGAATCTGGAATCCCTCTGAGTGTCTGCCCCAGACGGGCTGTGAGGTCCCAGTCATGGGTGTGTGTTTCCTGGGATTTGGGCATGATGCCTCAGTACTTGGAAATACTACACAGGAAACCGTGATCATTGCCCAGCCTCCTGAGTCACCCTCTGTCTATGCTTTACTTAAAAGTTATCCCGGTGATTCCCCCTTCGGGAGCTCATGCCCTTCCTTCTCTTGATTCAAACATACTGGTTAATGAATGCATTTGAAGATGGACAGCTCCCACTGAGATAGTGTTCTGGTATTTCTGAGGTTCTCACTCGATTCAGCCCCTACATATCTTTCCATATATCCCATTATTTCCGAACCCACTTTACCAGTGTGTCCTCAAAACACCCATAAATATCCACCCCTTCCTAGATGGCATTAAATTTCATTTTAGATTTTAGGTGACTCATAATTTCCATTCACTGGCCTGTCAGAGAAATCATTGGCAGACATACATGCCCTTGAACTTTTCTTGAACTTTTCAAAAAAATTCTCGTGGATTCTGCTAATCACTGTGTCTCTATGTTAGACCTAATTTTCTAGTGGTTTCATCACATATTTTTAACTTGAATTTTTTTTTTTTTTTTTTTTTTTTTTTTTTTTTTTTTGGAAATAGCTGAATGTAAATAGGAAGAAGCAAGCAAGCGAAGTTAGAACTTTTCTCCATCCAGAATTGCCCTCTCGGGCTCCTCTTGTAACACATGGAGCTCCTTACTAGCTAGGGGAGACCATAGGAGAAGTGGATGGTTGGAAGGAGTCATGAATAATGTTTAGTCTCTGTAATTTTGGGCAATAATGTGTAGGAGTCCTCAGTACCTTCACTGAGGATTATGTATGCATTCATTTTTAGGCATGAATGTCTATGTTACTCTCTCCTTTCCTTTCTTCGTTCATTCAACAAGTATTTATTGAACACCTCCTATGTGCCAGGCACTGTGCTAGGTGCTGGGAATACCACTGAGTAAGACAGACAAGGGCCCTACTCTCATGGAGTTTACTTCTGGTGGAGGAGACGATACGCAAGTAAGCAAATACATAATGTAGTTTGAGATAGTGATTAAGTGCTATGAAGAAAATAAACTAGGGTGATGATTTAGAGTGGGGGTGGGTGGGGGTGGGGCATCATTAGACGGCAGTCAGGGAAGGCCTTTCTGAGGGTGGCGTCGGAGTGAGCGTGCAAGGCTGGAGGCACTGGCCGGCCAGCCCCGCCACCGCGCCTGCGTCTGTGGAGTGGAAGGCGGCTGGGCGCTGGAGCGGAGCGAGCAGTGGGGAGGGGGGAGATGCTGAGTTGCTCAGTATTCTGACGTTTATAGGCCCTTTTTTCTTTTCTCCTTCTTGTTCTTGCTCTTTTTTTTTTTTTTTTTTTTTTTTTT